TCCTGTCACTTCGTTTTTCTTTTACTAGGTGCTAAAAGAGGGTTACTTATTAGAGGAGGTGATGTTTTAGAGCGTTTGGCTGGAATAGATGCTCTTGTGCTTGATAAAGTACGTGGTTTTTCATTTGACTTTTTTTATTTTTCACGGTAAACTGCTATTCTCAATGTTGTGTTTTTTCTCATTACAAACAATTTATTCCAATTCTAGACAGGGACACTTACAGAAGGAAAACCAGTAGTTACTTCTATTGCTTCTCTGGCATATGAGGAGACAGAGATTCTTCGTCTTGCTGCTGCAGTGGAGAAAACAGCATTGCACCCAATTGCAAATGCTATAATGAACAAGGCTGAACTACTCAAGCTAGATATTCCGATCACAAGTGGTCAGCTTACAGAGCCTGGATTTGGCTGTTTGGCAGAAGTAGATGGGAGTTTAGTTGCAGTAGGCACTTTGGATTGGGTGCATGATCGTTTTGAAACTAAAGCATCACCAACTGAACTGAGAGACCTTAGAAACCAGCTGGAGTCTATGTTGTCAAGTGAAGCATCATCATCAAATCAGTCGAAGTCAATTGCTTACGTTGGTCGTGAAGGAGAAGGAATTATAGGTGCTATTGCTATATCAGATATTTTACGAGAAGATGCAAACTTAACTGTGGAGAGGTATTTTCTGGAGTGATTATTTGCATTTTAACTGTGTTTTCTCGGTACAGATACATTTCTCTTATCCAATAGGGTTATCCTCAGAGGCGTCGTGAAATGCTGCTGCAAGATCCTTAGATATTTTTAATGTTATTTTTGAAGTAGCATGCAAGTTTTGCAACTATTACTGCCTTATCTGTATAGTTAAAGTAGTGCAGCATGTTTAAACTTGTCTTGTTAATCATCAGGTTGCAGCAGGAAAGCATTACAACGTTTCTACTGTCAGGGGATAGGGAAGAAGCAGTGACAAGCATCGGGAGGACTATTGGAATCAGGGATGAAAACATAAAGTCTTCCTTAACTCCGCAAGACAAAGCAAGCATTATATCAACTTTGCAAGGGAAGGGACACAGAGTTGCAATGGTAATGAAATCCAATGCTTTATTGGTGTTCTATCATGGACAGGTCAAATATCCACACTTGTGATTCATAGACCAAGAGTATCGTCCAAAAGTATAAATATCTACAAAAGTTTCAATTTGAGATAATACACAGTTCAAAATTGCTCACCGACAACTTTGTGTCAAGTACTTGTCTTTTTTTATTGAACTTGACCTTTTTTTACCTGCATTGACTCCTAACAACATTGATTTGTACTGGCTGTTGTCCAGGTTGGTGATGGAATAAATGATGCGCCGTCTTTGGCAGCTGCAGATGTTGGAATAGCCATGCGAACTCACTCAAAAGAGAACGCTGCCTCTGATGCAGCTTCAGTTGTTCTATTAGGCAACAGACTTTCTCAGGTAAGGTTCTTTGTTGTAATGGTTCTCTCATCTGAATAACTCAAGTGCCATTAACAGAGATCAAACAATCTCTTTGCTCAGGTGGTAGATGCGCTATCCCTGTCGAAGGCAACGATGGCAAAAGTTCACCAAAATTTGGCCTGGGCAGTGGCATATAACATAGTAGCCATTCCAATTGCCGCTGGAGTGTTACTGCCACAATATGATTTCGCCATGACACCATCTCTCTCAGGTAATGTTTACTGAGGACAACTATGCACTTTGTCTGTTATGCCATGTTTTCCTCATATTGGGTTATCGAGCTTTAGTGCTGACGCTATATTTGGCGATTTATCACGCAGGGGGATTGATGGCCCTTAGCTCCATCTTTGTCGTCAGCAATTCTTTGCTTCTGCAGCTGCATGGGTCGTTTCAGAACACAGCAAAACGGCAGGGTGATCTGAGCTCAAGATTAAACTGAATTGTTGGGCTTAGTTTGACCCGGCTGAAGGACAGTGCTTCAAGATGGTACTGGATGATAGAGGGTGCTTTACTGGTTTTCCAGCTCCGGCTAATTGAACCGAGTTAGAAGTAAAAGTAGCAAGCTATTCGTGTCAGCTGTAGCATGTTCGTGTACAGTTTATCTACTAGCCAACTATAGAGTAGCAAGTATAGTCACCCCGAAGGGCAATAATGTTAGCATTTACCACGGCCTTCAAACATTGTAAATCTATAATGTTGCTGCTGTAAACAAAGAGATCATTGGGGCGTATGACTATTGTTCATGGTCTAGCAATGTCCAACAAGCTAAGCTTCATTTCACACGGATATGGAATGTTCAGTAAACAGAACTACTCTAATGGTTACATAGTAGAACAAATAGCAACTCCAGTTGATTATATTGTGGTCAGAAAATTGCATATTTAGGACTCCAAACAACGCACTTCGTAAATATAGGACTCCAAATACCGTCTTTATAAAAATAACCCTCGAAGCGTTGGCTTCTTGATTTTCATGACATAGATGTATTCCATCCTTTTTTATTCATAATACATGTATTCGTTTCATCTACGTTTCTGCCTGACGTTTCATCGCTTCTCCTTCGTCGTTTGAGATCGCGACGCCCTAGCAGCCCGACGTGGCCGCCCAAGTCCTGGCCGCGCCGGTCGCCGTCTCATCTCCTTCGTCGTTTCCTCCCGACGCCCTAACCCCCATGGAAGCCGCTGGACCTGATGGCCAGCCGCCCGACGTGGCCGTGGCCGCCGACGGCCCAAACGCGGTCGCCCATGTCCTGGCCGCGCCGGTCGCCGAGGGCATGGCGGCGCCGATCGCCCAGGGCATGGCCGCGCCGGATGGAGGACTGTCTGCGCCGGTCGTCGAGGGCATGGCCGCTCCGGATGGAGGCCTGTCCGCGGCGGCTGGAGGGCTGGCCGCGCCGACACGAGGGCTGGCCACGACCGACATGGACGACCAGGTCGCTCCTGCTTGTGGCCTGGCCGAGCCCGACGCCATGTCCACTGCGATTGCCTTGGCGAGGTCATTGCTGCCCACTCCTCCTCCGGCAGTAGAATATAATCTTCTTGTAGTTGAGTTGTCGTTGAGGTGATGCTCTTAATTATTTATGTTCTTGTTTGTGTTTAGAATAATCGCAATCGTACTGATAGTAATAGTTGTTAATTATTTGTGCTGTTAATTATTTATGTTAATTATTTTGTGCCATTAATTATTTGAGTTATTATTTCTGTTCAGTACGCTCTTTAATTATTTTCTTATTTGCGCCGTTAATTATTTATGTTAGGTCCGAAGTAGAGCATGTGAAAAATACGGTAAGAGTTGATTGTGATAGCTCACAGATAGTGGAGACACGTGATGACGGAGGTCAAATCGCACTTTTGAGGAGCATTCATGGTGCTAAATTATGGTCCTGTGCATTGCTTATTTGCATGCTGGGGCGAGGGCTAGCTCCTAGAGTCCTAGCAGAGAGGAAATCTGTAGCGTGTGTAGTGCTCTACTTGTGGTTTTTGAATTTTTGATACTGCTTCAGATCACAGAGCCAAGGCAGCGGCAGGCGGCCAGCCCAGGAAAACCAGCGTAATGTCATCTAAATGACTGAAGGGTAAAAGGGTCACTTTGGGGAACAAATACATGTATTTAGATGAGAAAAGAGACTTCATACACGTAATGTCATGAAAATCAAGAAGCCAACGTTTTAAGGCTTATTTTTACGAAGACAATGTTTAGAGTCCTATACTTACGAAGCGCGTTAGTCTTTACTAGGTGCCACTACCTTCGTCGCCATCATCCTCATCGACAGTAACAAAATCATGGAGCATTATACATTAAATCAATTATACGTAATCCTACGCAAGGTTGCTAAGATCGAGATCCTAGGTTTAGTAAAATACGCCATGAAGCGTTTGGATCATTGGATGCAGTAAATAAACTTTTGAAAACCATAGTGTTGCTAGAACTGCAGTCACCAGTCAGTAATTTTAGAGTTTTAAAAACTCCACTCTAACTCTATTCTAAAATTACAATTTTATTAATACTACAGTTTCTTAATACAGCATCAGAATAGGACTTGACGCTTAGCCAAAGAGCTTCGGCAATGTTATCCGCTGGCAACTGGCAAGCGTCAAGGCTCCGGCGCACGGACACCGCTGTCATCTGGTGCCAGGTTACCGTAGAGCTGGAACAGCATTGTGTTCATCACGACGAGCAGCATTATCTTTTGCAACCCACACACTTCCATTGCACTAGAGGTGACGATCAGACGGTAGAAAATGCCCAAATCTTAAAATTATTTGCAGCAAACCCTATGCTTTACATAATGGATAAAGATATGCGCAAAGCAAACAAAAAGTAACTCTGCGTTAAGTTCACGACTTCAGCTAAGCTATTTTGTCCCAGGCAATCAGGAGCATAATTTGGAGGGTCAAGATATATTCACAAATCCAAGGTCGCCCAGTCAGCTAGTAGCCTAGACTAGGAAAATGCGCAGCAGGATGAACAGTTGTGCTCCTCAGGTTTGCATGGGTCAGCTAGGAAGCGTGTAGATCTTATCAGCAACATACCTGCAAATAAAATCAATCGAATTAGTTCTGAACTTCATTTCATATGCTACCTAGATTATGGTAAAATTCAGACGAAATGGACAGAAATAGGTGTCTCATCTGTGAACAAATTAAACTCAGGGGGTTCTCCATAGTAGGAGTACTGCATAGAGCAGCAATAAGGATGCATAATCATAAATTTGAACAAGCACCGCACTGACCACACTGTCGAATATAGTTACAAGCTCATTCTTATTCTTTTAATAAAAACTGTTCCTATACAGAAGATGTGTTACCAATTTCTACCGACAGAAGGGAATAAAGTTCAGTCTGCATGACACATTTAGGTACCGGATGGATGAGGTATCCAAAACCAACTCTGTCATTAATGAAGCAACCAAACAAGGCTACCGATTTTATTCAGTGTGTTAGTCCAAATAGTACATCGTAAGAAAAAAGAGCACTGAGAGAAAAAAAATGACTCATCATCTTTATAAAATACTAAAGGATCTTTTCCATTTACCTCAAGAGTCATAAATTCTTATCATGTGTCTGATGTCCTGACGACACATAGGGCACAACGGTTCAGCCTCACGCTCCATTCTTAGTGCGCATTTGCAACAGCAGACAAGATGCCCACATGGAATAAAAGCTGCTTTCCTTCTCTTCCTTAAGCACACAACACATAGTTGCCCGTCTCCTACTTCATCGTCATCACTAGAGTTATCTTCCTGAATAGCGTCTTGAGCCTCCTCAAACATCTGCTGTGCCTGCCTAGCCTCTCTCCGCAGTTTGATTCTCTTCCAGCCCCTGCAACATTATAAACTTCAAATTGTCAGCACATAGGACTGCAAAAACTAAAATTGCTCAACAGGATATCTCTAGTCTAGATAATCAAGCATCAATCAGCATAACTCAAGCAATAGAGAAAATGACGTAATTTGATACATCAAGAAGAGAATGTGCAAAGTATCTCGGTACATTGGTTCACACAACAAGTTCATAACAGATACCTGTAAATGGCATGGCCCACTAAGCAAACCGACAAGGTTCCCAAAACAATACTACCCCAAAAGAGTATCCTAGCACGCGAAGCCAGCTGAGCTTGCATCTCATCCTTGGTTAGCTCAGATCTGAATGAAGGCAAAGCGTTAAAAACTTGGAAATGCACCTAGAGAATGCATGTCCTCCTTCCCTTATTCACAAGGAATTTCATAGAGGCAGAAATGGTGATTGGCATCAGCAAGAAAGAAAGAATATAAAAATATATTACCAAATAACATCTTACAAGAAAAAGGGGATCTCTGGGCACGATGTGATCTCAACACTTTCTGCATCCTTCACATGACATAGTCCTATTGCTGTAATTTTCTTACCGATCGGTAGTATTTTTTCTTCATCCAACAATGCAATCTATGGAACAAATAGCATAACAGTTTAAGAGATATACTAGTCCAGGGTTGAGTATTGCATAGATAAATATCTGTTCTTAATGCAGCAATCAAATGAACTTACCGGATAGCCATTGCCAATAATAGTTTGGAACAATGTGTAAGGAGTCGTCTCAAGTGGGATAAGTTTATGAAACACTGTAGTAAGAGGCAACGGTTGATCCGCCTTATCCACATTTATATGCACCACTCCCGCAGGATTTCCTAACTCAGTACTAACCAGAACAAACGGAACCTTGCGAAAGAGAAGCACCGTCAAAATCAAGGTAAAGGTTATCCTAATAACAATATTGCATGAGTGTAGATGGAATACCGATCTAAAAGATGTCACAATTTGCTCTTTCCATGATCTGAAAAGAAGAGCATGCAGATCAAAGGTCCATCCAAAGATGCCTCTCCATTCTGTGAACAAACACTACAAAGTACAAAACCGCATACTACCAGTTAGTTAGACATTGATACAGAGGAAGAATAACAGGCAGATCCAGTGTTTTAAAACAACAAAGGGAAAAAGATAAGCATTCGCTTATAACAGACTTCAAAATCAGGTACTTGAAAACATATTAAGACTTGGTATTCTCAAAATGTGCTTAACAATTCTCCTATCACAGAAATTCGAGCACACAAGCCAATCTGGAAACCATCAAATTAGCAAAGATTTGCCCAAGTTCCTAATCCTGCAGGAGGGAATCATGGAACTCCAAACTACTGGAAGCCACTAAAGAAAATGGGAAACCCTGAAGAAGGGAGACTCTCTATCACTCTATGTTTAAATTTGTACACCAATTGGAGACCTCAATCTAATTAGTGTAGCAGAATTTACACTAGACAGGGTGTCATGACGGCTCCAATGGCCAAAACGGCTAGTGCTTCATCTGAATTCCGTACCGACTATTGTCTCGTTGCCACGAGAGCCATCACTAAGCACCCAATCCTTGAAGATTTATTTTTAAGACGAAAACTAAAACAGAACCGCAGCATAGGACTAGCGTAAACCCTAATCTGAACGATGGACGCAACGAGCAAGTCTCCAGCGTACGACGGCGGGACTCACCATCTGGGTGTGCTTCACAACGACGCCCGCCTCGCCTGAGAACGGGGCCCGGAGGAACGAGCCCTGGGTCCGCACGTGGCCCCGCACCGCGGCGATCCGCGACTCGTCGCCGTCGTCCGGGAGGAGGGAGCGGGTGTCGGCGATGGAGGCCGTCGCCGCGGAGGCGACGAGGCGCAGCTGCCCCGAGACGGCGAGGTACTTGACCCACGACGCGACGGCGACGGCCGCCGTACCGAGGCCGAGCACCGCCCCGTCCAGCGAGGCGGCGAGGCGCACCAGTGCCTCGGCCGTCTCGCGGTCACGCGCCGACATGGCTGAGCTGTGTTGGCTTGGGTCTCGCCGCAGCACGGCGAGTCGGCGATGACCCCTACTCGTCCTGTTCAAGTATGCGGTGTCGTGCGGATGGGGATGGTCCGGACTCGGGTTCGAGCCGGAGATAACTCTGGTGCTCCTCCGGTCCTCCGTATAAACCACACAGGTGGAGCCTTCGAGGTCAGTGGTTTTGCTTAAGGAGTACGAATTCGATTCGAATTTGTGAATTTTCAGCAAATTTTATAAGTAAGCCCTTGTTTAGTTGGAGAAATTTGGATTTTGGGGCTACTGTAGCATGTTCGTTTTTATTTGGCAAATAGTGTTCAAACATAGACTAATTAAGCTCAAAACGTTTGTCTCGCAATTTCCCACTAAACTGTGCAATTAGTTTTTCTTTTCGTCTACATTTAATGATCCATGCACGGACCACAAACATTCGATGTGATAGGTACTGTAGCAACTTTTTGAAATTTGGGGTGAAACTGAACAAGGGCTAAAGGCCGTTGAATAAGGCTCACTAGTCCTGGCCATCTGATCGTTCTATGCGAATTGCACGCCACTTATGAATCCGTGGAACGATGGATTCATCATTCACAAGTGATCTTTTTGTAATTCTACCAGGATAAGAGCTCGGCACGGCTCCAGCCTCCAGCGAAGTAACAAACCTCACGTCCCACTAGGAAGTGCAGTGCAACAGATTCGATTTGTACATGTGGCTACCATAGAAGCATTAGATCTGTTTACCAGACATGGAAGGCGCTGATGTTCAGCTGTTGCTCAATGACTTGACAAATATGACCAGCAACAAGAGAACAGTCAATGTATCAGGTACCGAGATCATGTATTTTCAATTTTTCATTGCAGAATCACAGGAACAACTAAGAAACATTTGCCCTTTGCAGGCTGCACAAACTATACATGGCAGAAGCTTTTGAAGTATTCAGATACCTCAACATTCTGGGGCATCAGAACTGTCACCGATCTAGTGACAATCTCGAAAGTCACAAACATTTGAAAAAACTTTGATCGTGTACAAGGTGGTGAAGGTATTCCTTGGCACATACCATCCCAACTTTTTCAAATCACGAGGACCGATGGCATTACCCTGCACAGGGAGATAGAACTAGGGTCCATGTCCCTTCTATTCCTATCTAGTCAGCAAGCCCTATGAACTGAAGGAGAGTAAGCACAGATCTGATGAATGACGAGAACCATCCTGGTCAACCATCTACAAACAAATTGCATGGGTGTTATTTTCAATTTAGAGTTCTATAACTTCACGAAAATTTTCAGGATTAAACTGAGACAAGGCAAGTACCTTGAACCCTATCTGATCATAGAGCCTCCATGCTGGTAAGTTATCTTTACGCACATGAATGTAAATATTTTCAGCACCTGTAATGGGTTGAAGATATCAGTGGATCGTGCATTTTCATTTGGGACAGGCTATTATAGAATAGCTCAATGTTTTCAGTACCGTTGAGTCTTGCAGCATCTATGGCCAATAACAGCATGTTGCTGGCAATCCCTTGACGCCTCGCATATTTAGCAACGCATACATTTGTTACATACCCAAATTTTGGCTGATCAGGCTGATAAATTCGACAGTGAAGAGACGACTTTCCAGGCTCCTGTGAATAACTTCTAAATACAGCAGCAGAAAAAAAAAACATAGAGAAGGTACAATTATACCCTACCTCAGGAAATTTCTCCCCATGTAGAGGATGCCTTACACATACATCTAAGGTACCAACAACACTATTCAGGACAGTTCGCCTGAGGTCATCATTCTTTACCTGCAATATTAAGCATAAGGCACCAATATTTTCAGCTGTGGAAAAAATGAAGAAAATATCAGTAAAGACAGCTTTAACAGAATGTAAACTGAGATAGTTGCCAAGAGTGAGGCTTTCATTAATCATAGTCAATTGTAAGAGAGACCATTTGGTTTGTTCATGATTCCCTGCGACATGCTTTATGAACAAAACATGCTGCAACCAAGATCTAGTGACAAATTTGATGAACAAATCAAACAGAGATTTTTATCTCATACCGCGACAAAACAGATATACTTTTCTCCGTGCTGTTTGCTGCATCTCTTCTTTAATGCATGGAATTCCTGCAATGAGATGACAGACTCTGATACTTGTGAACCAGAACAGAAACTATTGAATGATCGGGATGTGACAAATTAATCAACAACAACAACAACAACATAGCCTTTCAGTCCCAAGCAAGTTGGGGTAGGCTAGAGTTGAAACCCACCAAGAGCCCCAAGTCACGGTTCAGGCAGCATATTCAAATAACTCTAAGAAAGAATAATAGGAATTTTACAGTGAAGCTTGAGTTGATTTCTTTTTGCATTCACTTATAAAAAATAGTCAAGAACAATATGTGACAAATTAATGCGAATAATTTATAATGTTGCATCAACAAAGCTATTTGAACAGAGGTCATTGTAATTTCTTAACATTTACTTGTTACAAAGAAGATGTACATCCTATCTCAATTACTTTTAAGCACATAGAAAACACTACTAAGTTGTTTACGCAAGTACCTTTGATGCAAACTTTCTTTTAAAGCTTTCAACATAGCTGCAGGAAAAAAAATAATGATAAAGTAGCTGCAAGGACCATGCTAACAGTAAATGTATAGCAGTACAGACACTAAGGAAGACTACAGAACTTTCCCTTCCCTTAAAGATAAAAGTCTTACCGATTGCCTGACTCATTTTCGTAGTGATCTTCTGCTCTAAACCATGCAGCGATCTATCAATCATTAGTAAGGAGAGATGTAACTTGTAAGGCATAGTGGTAGGTAGAGTAAATCATAATTGTAGGTCACTGAATAAAAGGTGGCTTTATGTAAGCTATAAATAGCTAGCATATGTTAGTAATCAATAGTTAGCAATCAATCCATTACAAATACATGTGGAAGCCATGTCTGCTAAACAGAACAAATGAACAATATGTTCTAACAACTTAACAAGAGTAATACCCAGTATTCCTCATCGATTACAGCCTCACGAGCAACATAGCAGCCAAATAATCTTTTGTATTTGCAATCACTTTCAACAATTGAGGGTCGAAGACGATTGAACCGGAGATCAGATGGTCCAGAAGGAAGCAAAGGGGTTGGGACCACTGATGCCTTATTGGATAAACTTGAGGAAAGCCCAGGGTGAGACAATCCTCTGGCAACATTGAGGCTGTCAGTGTCTGTCTCCTCATTTCCACCATCTGTGGAAATCATGGATTCATCTTTCCTGGGGTAGAAAAATGGCTATGCATTAAGGAACAATAGGCATAAGATCTAAGCATGAAGTTATGCTCAACGCTAGCTCTATGACTGAAAAGCAAGAACATAATCACTGAAGACTTTGCTTCAGTGGAACCTAATAATAAGTTCAATTGTGGTCCTAATGTTGAGTATAACATTCGAACTACACCATACCAAGCCATAAGAAGCAACCAAAAAGCCAGCAAGACTACAAGACCCTATAATAGCTCCACCACATATTTTTCCTTCTTCTTTTCTATTTTTACAACCTTGTGGAGATCCTTATCCCCCTTCTTTCCTCTTTTATTTTTCATTAAAAAAAAACAGAGTGCCGCATCATATTTATGGTTTACCCTTTGGATTGAAGGAACACGTGCCATGAGAATTGGCGCAATGAACCAGTACCGGCCAAATTTTGCGCAAATGAAGGAAATGAATGGCTAGTCTTTCCAGTCACGGAGTCTAGCGTGAAGGATGGGCAACCTAACTAACCCAGTGCTCAAACGACGCCCTGAAATCCCCCTGATTCGTCTCTTCCTTCTCCAGAGAGACGACCACGAGAGTTTCTCCCTTTCCTCCATTGCAGTTATTTCTAGCATCTAAAACCACCACGAGAGTTTCTCCAACAACAGCAAAGCGGATGTGTACTACCGAATTAACTGAAACACAACAGCAACCGAAGGAAGTGCTCACATAGGCGAGGCGGCGAGGCGCCGGTGGAGGAAGCCCAGTCCACGGGGGACGCGCCGCGCGCCGGCCAGCGGCGGCGGCGTGACGGCGCCGGTGGACATGCTCGCGGCAGCAGCAGCAGCCCCCGCGAGGATGAGGCAGAGGTCGAGCCGGCAACCGGCACCTGGCCCCTTAGTGCGCGAGACGAGAGGCGGGGTAGCGAGTCCCGGGAAGGACGGGGGAGAGGCGGCAGGGAGGGAGAATTGGAAATGCCGGAGCGCGGCGGGGCGAGCGCTGGCCGCTGGCTGGCGTGCGGCGTGGTCTACCTGCCTGCCTCGCGGCCGCGTCGCCCGCTACTGGAGTACTAGTATTTGTCCTCCTTTTCGCTTGTTCTGTGGGCCTGACGTGTGTGGTCCGGTGGTTTGCTGGTCGTATTTCGCCGGTGGCGGATGGCCACTTCCGCCCTGGTCGGCTTGTCTGGCTGACGAGTCATGATTAAAAATAATGTTGTTTAATTTGGTATAAGAGAAAAATACTGTTTGTTGATTGAAAAAGTATGGTTTATAAGTCAAATAAGCATAAACGAACAGAGCGTTCATTTGTGCAGTGCTATGCTTCGCCCGCATGCAACCAAGCCTCGTCACTGGGCTGGATATCGAGCTAGCTCATCTCGTTATAACTCGGCTCGTTATGGCTCGTTATACAAACAAGCCAGAAAATTAGCTCGGCTTGACTCATTAGCGAGCTCGAGCTAGCTCATTTGGCTCGCGAGCCAAAACATAAAAACACAGTCCATAGAGGTTATAACCATAAGTTGGCAACAAACACATTACATGCATATCTAAAATGGAATAAACAAAATTCATATAAATTTTGGACTCTTCTCACGTGAACGTGATGTCGTGAGATAGGCCGGTGGGGTGACTTTGTAGGGCCATGGGGTCTATTGGTCTAGGGTTTTAGTGTTTATGGTGGTGGGCTATAGGAAAAGGGATATACGGACTGCTTAAAATTGTGTTGGGCTAGGCCGAGAGATACATGGGCCAATTCTA